ACACATATATGATGCACTAGTGACTTCACGTTTGATTGTATATATATGTGTTTGAACATGACATTATTAATTTATTTATACTTAACCTTCATATAATATTTCTTATTGTGCAACGCACGGAGCAATGTACTAGTATGGTATGAGAATATACCCCTCGTACTCTGAACAATACACTTAGGCCCCTCAACTTAACGGTCTCCTATTTTACTATTAACATCGTCAATAGTAAAATAAAGTTAAAACTCCATCATCGAATTCAGAAAATCTTTTCTGATTGTCCTTGACACAACTCTATTTTTTTATTGAAAAATATTTTTGTATTTTGCGAATTACCCATTGAATTTAAATACATGTTTTTAGATAGTAATAATTTTACAAATATTGGATAAATCATTTACTTCATTAATACTTCAATAAAAAAATTATATTTCTTTGTAACATCAATTTTCTTACAATTGATTGTAAAAAAGTCAAGTAACTAAAATAAGTACAATATTTTTTTTATTATTGGGTTAGATATCATTTAATTCTTTATAACTTATTTATTTAATATATGTTCTAATTATTTAAATCAATTTAATGAAAGTATAACTAAACTCGTCGAAAGAAATCAAGGATGAAGATAAAATATACCACGCCATAGTCAATATAGGAAGCACATTCAAGAGGAGGAACGAGCCAAATAACGATATCAGAGTTGTCCGATGATGTGGGAATGTCCTTCAGTTGATTGTTGACATGACGCAATACTGGTGTTTTTCCAACTCCCATTGGACCAACAAGAAGTATCCTTTTAGCGGTTTTCTCTCGTAGAAGTATCAGAATTTTGTCAACTAGTATACTGTGGTGTGGAGAATCGACTTCCCCGTGCTGCAATTGCACAATGTCGACGCTTCTCCTAATCAGCAGCTTCTCGGTGTCCTGGCTTAACCCGCTCACAAGCTGAGCTGTGAATTCGCTAAGGCGGGCTACGTTCCTGCTGAATTGCGCAAGCTTCACGGGAGTTTGTAGACCTCTTTGTACTTAGCGTACGAATCTTTGAACTTCTTCTCTATAAATTTGGCTTGATCTTCCAAAGATCGGTACTCCTCATTCTTCTCTAATTTGAATGGTGAGTGTTCGGTTTATCGAGCGTGCTCAGAGCATCTTGACTTAATGGTTATCGAATCTACAATCAACGACGACAAATTCAAGTGCAATTCGTCAATGAACTAAATTAAAAGATTGTAAAATTTTAAAATATCAAATTTGTTTGGCCAAAATTAGACCTTAACCATAACCACAAAATTAGTACGCAAATGGTTCGCGATTTGCACGTGATTTGCACGTAATTTAATTGGGGTAAAATTATTGAACTATATCACGTCCCATCTTACTGACTTCGACATGTTTAAGGGGCAATAAGAGTTCATAGCATGAAATGACTCCAAATTTCAATCCTAATGTTTTGTTTGGTATGCAACAAACTTGCGTGCCATGCAACTTAAAATCTATTCATTCTTTTTTATTCATTCATTTATTTCTAGTATCAAACTTTACAATTAACTATTAATTACTCGGTTGGTACAATAAACGAAAGTCCAATGCATTAAGCCCGATTAAGGGGTGTTTGCGAACGCTTTTCCAAAGCGATTATGAGCTTTTTTTTTGGGTTCAAAATCAGTTTTTTTTTAAACATTAAAAAGCTCATAATCACTTTAAAAAAAACATTTGCAAACACCACCTAAATGACCGATCTTATGAAACGAAATAAGGAAAAATCAAAACCCAATTAAAAACTTACTTAGCTACATATATATGTGAAGAGTAATAAATGGTACAATAATGAATTTACAATTAAGATATATTCTGTAATATGCATTACAGTTTAGACGATGTGTTTTTAACAAGAGTCAAATATACAAAATATTATAATGAAATTGACTAATCTAATTGAATAATGAGTTTGGCCAATTTCAAAAAAAGTTAAAAGGTGACCTTTTTGGATTCTAGAAGGTACGTAGTGCATTGATTAATATATAGGGCAAATTATGGTCACCCCTTGAGGTAAGATCAAATTACGAAAAAACCTCTTTTTTTTGGTAGTTACAACTATCCCCTTTTCAAATAATTTTACATATCGGTTATTTATCGAACCAAATCGTATATTCAGTTTGGTAAACGGTATGAAATGTTGGCGTACCGAAATTTCGGTTAGGTTTTACCGATTTAACATCCCTAAATTTACCTCTAAAGGGGTTTTTTCGTAAGATAATACATAATTGAGGGGTGACTGTAATTACCCAAACAAGAGGGAGTTTTCGTAATTTAACCATAAATCAGGGTGGTGGCCGTAATTTACCCTAATATATATTGATGAACTAACACAAATACATTTACTAAAACTCAAACCCCATATTATATCCTACGTTATTTTTCTCTCTTTCCTTCCTTAACTTTCTCGATCTTGATTCAGATCTGATAACCGTCATTCAACACACACTGGTAAATTCTAGAGAGAGAGAGAGATAGAGATAGAGAGAGAAAGCAATGGCGGTGGTGGTATCACCATTAACAAAGTACAAGCTGGTGTTTTTGGGGGATCAATCCGTCGGCAAAACCAGCATTATCACCCGCTTCATGTATGACAAATTTGACACCACCTATCAGGTTTCTCTCTCTCTCTCTCTCTCTCTCTCTCTCTCTCTCTCTCTCTCTCTCTCTCTCTCTCTCTCTCTCTCTCTCTCTCTCTCTCTTGCTGATGCACATCTTGGTTGGATGATCCATATTGCCATATATCATTTGTTTTAGAAAAAAAAAATATTTTGTATAGTAAATTAATTATTTCGGTGAAGTTTAATTTGGTTTATATTTCCCTTGTTTTTTCTTTTTCCGTATCCAACTTCAGTTTTTTATGCGCAGGCAACAATTGGCATAGACTTTTTGTCGAAGACGATGTACCTCGAAGATAGAACGATTCGATTGCAACTTTGGTAAAAATACATTCATGTCACCCAATATTTATATTTCCCTAATTAGTAGGTACATTTGATATTATAAAGTGAATATTGATATCACTATACATAATATATATATATATATATATATATATATATATATATATATATATATATATATATCATTTGAAAATTATAATCTCACGTAGACGTGTAAATGAGTCGAGTCGGTTTATAAAACTGATGAACCTTAGGGTCAACTCAATAGAAGCTCGAGAGGTCGAGCTCATTTCTAGCTTTCATACCAAGAGCCGACGAAAAGTGAGCTTTTAACTTTTATTCTATAAATAAAATAATATATTTTAATGAAAAGTATATTAAAAAATGGGCAAATTGCACTTCACCCCCTTAAATATTGCCATTTTTACACTTTCTCCTCTAGAAATAGAAAAACGAGACTGTCCCCCTTAGAAATATATAAGTCGGTGCACTTTGCCCCAAGTCTCGATTTCCAGGCTAATTCTCGCCGGATTAAGGGTATACAAGTCATTGTACTTTTCCCTCTTCAAAATCCCGCGCTTTCACTTAGGGTTCTCCATGCCACAATAGTCAATTCCCAAATTGAACGACTCCCAAAGCCACAAAATTGACTTCCCAAATTGACAAAATTCTCTCCCAAAGCCACAATATTCGCTTTTGTTGTTCTTCATAACCAGTATTTGCACAACGCAATCAAGACAATGGGTTGGGAATTACGACAAGGAATGCAGAGACCTGACTATGGTGAGCACCTAAAATATTTAAGGGGGTGAAGTGCAATTTGCCCTAAAATTATGGAGAAAATTGTTACCTTTGCGGATCGATGGAAAACACCTGGTCGTTGCCCACGGATTCAATTGATTTTGGGAGTAAAAGAAGAACCCTAGGATTTTTTTTGCTATACGACCTGGGAGAAAAAGAAGACCCCCAAACGGTAATACTTGGTGGAAAAAATGGTCAATGACATTTATAACCTTTAAAAACTCCGTAAAAGACTTGTATACCTTTCCTAGTTACTAAAATCTGGCGAGAATTAGCCTGGAAATCGAGACTTGGGGCAAAGTGCACCGACTTATATATTTCTAAGGGGGACAGTCTCGTTTTTCTATTTCTAGGGGAGAAAGTGCAAAAACGGCAATTTTTTAGGGGGTGAAGTGCAATTTGCCCTTAAAAAATATATAATAACTAAAAATTTGAGCTCTCGAGCTCGAAAAGTAAAGTTTGATGTGATCGAACCCATTAAAATTGGTTATAAACTCGGGCTCTTCATGTTACCAAATGGGTCAAGCTCAGCTCGATTTCGAACTCAATTTTTTTAGATTCTTTTTGTGAAATTACAAAAATATTCGTTTGGTGACAGGGATACCGCTGGACAAGAAAGATTTAGGAGTCTTATCCCGAGCTATATTCGAGATTCTTCTGTGGCAGTAATCGTCTATGATGTTGCTAGTAAGTCATCGATCGATCGGAACATAAATTTTATATATGTTCGCCTTTTATCTTTTATAATTTAGTTGATTATGGTTAATTACATTATACACATATTGTGTTTTATTTTATTTTATCTTTTTTTTTTTGAGAAATTCAAACATGTTTGCTGAAAATACGATTTCATTCTTCAATATAAAAAAATCATAGAAACTTTTAGGGTTTATTGAACGGAGAATTACGAACACCCTTGATGTAAGGTCAAATTAAAAAAAACCTCGTGTTTTGGTGATTACAATCTCCCTCCTCAACTATGAATTTTCTTACATATCCACCATTGTGACGTCAAATTTAGTAGACTCTTCTAGATTATGTGAAATTTTCTCCAGTTTGTACCCGTTTTACCCAATTCGAATTCCACATTTTGAAACAAAATAATAATAAGATGCGTCTCTTGACTTGTAAATATCAGATTATGGTACCTCAGAACCTGCATTTTTGCACAAAACGAGTACAAACTAGAGAACATTTCACGAAATCTAGAAGTTTATGTTGAATTTGACACCACAAGGGTGAACGTGTAAAAAGACTTATAGTTGATGGGGTGGTTGTAATTACCCAAACAAAATGTTTTTTTCTCGTAAGTTAACGTTATAACCTTAGGGGGTCACCGTAATTTACATTTTATTGAATTGGGCACCCTTTGATCATTATTTAGCAAAAAATATCATGTGATTCAATATCAAAGATAAAAATATCTCTAAAATAAAGGGGTTGTGACTTAGAAAACACAACATACAAGGGTTTTTATACTAATAAAAAGAACATGAGGACTTTTTAGCAATTCAAAATAACACAAGAGGGGTTTTTGCAATTAACTCAAACTATTATGAGATCGTTATCGTTGTTAATATTTTTATTTTATTTTTCTAAAACAAAAAACGGTTATTATATATTTTGATATTTTGCAGATCGACAATCGTTCTTGAACACAATGAAGTGGACCGAGGAAGTAAGAACGGAACGTGGTCGTGATGTTATTATTGTTCTCGTGGGAAACAAAACCGACATTGTCGACAAAAGGTTAAGGCAAAATTATTTAAGTTTTTTTCGAAAATTAGTATAATTAGGACAAATTAAATTAATTCTATAATAAACCCTTTTATGTGTGTATGTTTTCAGACAAGTTTCAAGTGAAGAAGGAGATCATAAGGCTCGTGAGCTTGGAGTAATATTTATTGAAACAAGTGCTAAAGCTGGTTTCAATATTAAGGTAAGAATTCCTAAACTGCTCATTTAATTATTACATAATTCACACATTCTTCCTAATTATTAAGATTTTCATATCAATAAAATATTGGGTAAAATATTCAGGTAAGGTTAAATTACGAAAAAAATCTCTCATGTTTGGGTAATTACGATCACCCCCTCAACTATGACACGTTTACCCTTATAATGTCAAATTCAACAGAATCTTCTACATTCCGTGGAATATTCTCTAATTTGTACCCATTATGTGCAAAAAAATGCATTTTCTGATGCACCACAATCTGATATATGCAAGTTTAAGATACACCTCTTATGATTATTTTGTTTCAAATGGAGCCTGAATGGGGTAAAACATGTACAAATTGAAGAATATTCCACATAATCTAGAAGATACCACTAAATTTGACACCACAAGGGTGGACGTGTAAAAAAATTTAGAGTTGATGGGTGAGACTATAATTACCCAAACATAAAGAATTTTTTTGTAGTTTGACCTAATCTCAAGGGGTGGCAGTAATTTACCCTAAAGTATTAGAGTATATTACACAAATTTTATTAAAATTTCAACCAAAACTGGATATTTCTACCCTTACGAAAATATATATTTTATAGTGCAAATGATTACGGTGAAGAAGACATCAATGTAATCATCCAATATATTAATTTTACTATGTTTCTTTTGCATTTGGGGCAAAGTGCACGGAGTTGTATATTTCGAAGGTGGACAATCTCGTTTTCGTATTTTGAGGGGGAAAGTGCAAACATGCATTTTTTAAGGGGGTGAAGTTCAATTTGCCCTAAAATTAAACTTTAAGGGAGGTCTCTATAATTTTTAAAATATAATAGGTCTATATGTAATTAGATATAACCTTAGAGGTGGACAATGCAATCTACACAATATTCGGTCAACGGTAAAAATAAATTTCAAAACATAGCTACAACAATCAAGACCTTAAGGGAGGTATGTGTAATTTATTAAAACTTAGGAGGTCTATATTAGGGATGGCAATTTTATCCGCCCCGATTCGCCTCGAAATTTTCGGGTATTACCTGCCCCAAAAAAAATGGGACGGGTATGGGGATTATTGTTTTTTGACCGGGTATGGGTACGGGGATGGGTTTGCCATACCCGCCACGTACCCACCCGCATTATTTATATATATAATATATATTTATAAATTATTATATTAAATATAAATAATTAAATAGTAATAATATTTTAAATATTAGTTACAAATGAGATTTTTAGATTTCGATTATATAATTTATAAGGACAAATGGCAAATATGCACATGACAATGACACTTAATTAAAAAAGGGACATCCAACTTTTTTCTCTATCTAATAAATCCAGCTCATTCAAACTTATTTGCAAATAAGATAAATAATTTTATATATACCAAAATTACCCCCAGTTCATTGAAACCCAATTCAACTCCAATTTCATTATTTACACCCTAATTTAGCCAAATTTCATCAATTAACCAAATTTAACCCTAATTTCAATTTTGACCCGCCACCACCGGAGACCGCCGGTCTCCGTCGTTGACTTTTTTTTGAATTTTTTTTTCCCGGTAGGTCAACCGTCATTGACCATCGGGTCTCCGGCGTTGACTTTTTTTTTTCTTCAAAAATATTTTAATTTATATTACTTTATTGGCTACTAAATTACTGTTTCCAGCAATTATTTAACTGTCGGAGACAGTAATTTAACTTTTAATTTTTTTTTATATTTTAATTAATATTACTGTATTCCTTGCTAAATTACTGTTTCCAGCAGTTTTTTAACTGTCGGAGATAGTAATTTAACTGTCAATTGACTTTTTTTTCTTAAAAAATATTTTTAATTAATATTACTGCCTTGGCTGCTAAATTACTGTCTCCAGCAGTTATTTAACTGTTGGAGACAGTAATTTAACTGTTAATTGACTTTTTTTTTTGAATTTTTTTTCTTAAAAAAAATTATTTTAATTAATATTACTGTCTTGGCTGCTAAATTACTGTTTCAAATAGTAATTTAACTGTCTTAGACAGTAATATTAATAATATTACTGTCCCAAACAGTAATATTACTAACTGAGACAGTAATTTAGTAGCTAAGACAGTAATATTAATTAAAATATTTTTTTTCTAAGAAAAAAATTCGAAAAAAGAAGAAAAAAAGTCAACGCCGGAGACCAGCGATCAACGGTGGTTGACCGGCCGGAAAAAAATTTCAGAAAAAAAAAAGTTTTCAAACAAAAAAAAAGAAGTCAATGCCGGAATCTGGCCGGAAAAAAAATTCAGAATTTTTTTTTTTTCAAAAAAATATTATTTTGGGGTTAAATGTGATATATTTGTTTAAATCCGGGGTCAATGTGTAATATTAAGGAAGTTAGAGCATAATGGATGGAATTGATAAGAATTATATAATGGAGGGTATTTTAGACTAAATGCATGGGGATGAGTTTATTTGAAAGACTGTTTTTTTTGTGGACCAATGTGCATTTAGGTCCCATGTGATGGGCCTATTTGCCATTCGCCGTAGCCCGTATAATTAAATATTGATTATTTGTTGAAATACACTTTAATATTATAAGTAGATTACATATTTATTTATTAAACAAAAGAAAAAAAAAATAGATAGGTATTTTACCCGCCTACCCACCCCGGTACCCGTGGGGATTTTATGGGGCGGGTAGGAGAATTATTTTTATAAAGTTCGGGAATTTTGACGAGGATGGGGATTGTTATAGCGGTGCAGGAATGAGGATTGCAAAACCTGGCCATTGCCATCCCTAGTCTATATGTAATTACACTTGAATCCTGTTTGGTTACCAAGATAAGTCATGATTAACTAAATAATTGGACTTAATTTGATATTTGGTATCCTCAATAAATTGCCGGGTCGACCCGCCAAAATTATATAATCATGGCTTATCTTGCCTTCTAATGAGTTTTTTTTTTGGACGTTTCAAACTCCAATAAAATAATTAGGTCTCATTAGATTATTTAATCTTATCTTGACTAATCCTATCTTGCCAACCAAACGGGACTTTAATATAAAAGGAGGTAGGTGTAAATTGTAATCTACCGGATATACTAAATGATAATAAAAAAAATATTTTGATATTGCAGCCTCTATTCCGAAAAATAGCAGGTGCACTACCTGGAATGGAAATTCTTTCACCAAGAAAACAAGAAGGCATGGTTGATGTAGATTTGAAGCCTGCTTCAAACACCTACTCGAATGAACAACAACCAGGAAGCTGCGCATGTTAGAGATCGATACGTCTACTCGAGATGTATCGGAAAATGCTAATTAATTATGTGAAAAGAAAAAGAAAAAAAATTCACAAATTTTCAATGTTTTTTTTTTTTTTTTTTATAAGGATTCCTAGCTAAAACTTGGTGTCTAATTAAATGTAATTGAGGATGTAATTAAATGTGAGTGACTACATAAACTACATTGTTGATTTGATCAGAAGGGTTTTTTTATTTTTTTTTATTTGATCGACAATGTTACTTAATATAGGGTAAATTATAAAAAAGAAACCCTTGAATTTAGGCTAAATTAAGAAAAATACCCATGTATCCGTGATTACCAAAATTCTCCGGAGTCCATGGAATATTATTGCCCCAAAAAAATATCTATTCGACCCCCGCCGACGTGACATTTTTTAATGCTACTTTCTAAAGAAAAATTTACCTTCAAAGTGGTAGCAGTTCATATTAAAAAAGTTGTGAAAGTGTTATTTAAAAAGAATAAAGATTATGTGTAAAAGTCCCTCTAAGGGTAATTTTGTCTTTAGAAAAGTGGGGTAGAATCGGCATTTTTTGGGCAATATTCCATGGACTCAAAAAGATTATGTGAAAATTACACCCTAAGGGGGTCGGTGAAAACAAAGATCGAGGGGATTTTGGTAATTACGGATAGGTGGTGGTGTTTTCCATAATTTAGCCTATGTTTAAGGGGTTTTTCGTAGTTTATCCTTTAATATAACTACTATGGAGTGAAAGCAAATAATTAATTTGCTAGCTATGCCCTCAATTCGAAATTGAAGCTAAAGAAACTACCAAACTGCAAATGTTCATAATCAGTATCGGCATCGGCATCGTCGCCATTGGGATCGGGATTGGGATCGGTATCGGTTTCTGTTTTGTTCTCAGAACTCATTGCACAATCCCGACTTATTGCCATTTTGTTAATGCTTTGATCTTGAAAACATCACTTTCTTATTATATATAGCAAGCAAAAAGAATATGAATTTCTTACATTGCCCCTTGCCCCAAACAATTTCAAAATCTTGACAGGTTTTAATCTTATACGACGGCGCCAATAGTAGAAAAATCGTAAGAAAGAAACATAAAAAAGCTTAACAAACGCGGATTTGATGGAAAGTTTTGGGGATAGCAAACAATTAAACATAAAAAATTATTCCATGTAAATATTGAACACCAAGAAATGCTGTGAAGTAATCAATAGATAATCCCCTCAGTACCAATTACCACAAGCGGAGAAGTTTCAACATGTTCATACCTTCAATGAGGAAAGGAACCGGCTTCGAACGCGCCTTGACAAAAAAAACAACATGGAAAAAAAATTAGATGTTAAAGTAATATATATATATATATATATATATATATATATATATATATATATATATATATATATATATATATATATATATATATATATATATATATATATATATATATATATATAATGGAACAATTGTAAATTGAGGACAATGCAACTTCAGTGTATCAGCCTTTGGTTTACCTGGTTTCTTCTATGGGCTCAGAATTATGAATCAGCTTCGGACATTCTTGAATTTTGACTATTTCTTTCGACGGGCACAGGCCATTTCCAAAGCTAACCAAATTAGGTAAGAATCGAAGTACAAGTTTTCTCAATCGAGGAAGCAATATAGCATTGCTGGTGGTCACGCGACTCTTCTTTTCCTCTTTTACTATTTTCTCCACACTACTACAAAATTCAATAACAAGTTCCTCCAAGTTGTAAAGACTTTCAAGCATCGATTCCATAAGGATAAACTGGATCTCAAGACAGTAGCTAACTGTTAGAATTTTTAGAGCCTTAAAATAACCAGAAGGTATCTTTGTTACTCTCGGGCACGAAGGTGACTCCCATATATGCTCCAGTTTGTTTAAGTTGTAAAGCCCCAAATATTCTAGACACTCAAACGCACATTCAGTTTCTTCAACAACAAAAATTACCCGAAGTTTGCGACAATCTCTGAACATGCATAACTTCAGTGCCTGGAAATTAGAAATGCCGAGCTCTGAGAAGCTTTGAGCATCCCTGTGTGTATCCAAGTAGAATGCTGTTGCATGCGAAAGTACATCTTTCATCTCTTCTGGTACCCCCCCATAGCTTCCCACAAATCTCAAGTATCGGTCAGATTCGTTAAACATCGATTCCACTTCAGATGGGACTAGATCAACAACTCGGTAAAAATCAGTGCCAACAATAAAATTAAACTTTCTCAACCTCCCATCCGTCCATGAACGGCTTGTTTGAATAAATTCTTGAAAAGTGTCCATCTCTGGAAAGTAGAAATGAAGAAAAGTGAGCCTTTCCAACCTGACAATATACGTAATTAAGGCTGCGGCATGTTCTGGCCAACTGTCATCCTCGGAGTGCGCGCTAATGCTTAGTGATTCCAATGCCTCAAGTTTTGATAAAATATTGTGAGGAATCGTTGGACATTTCAGAACCGGATAGTGTTCTTTGTATTCAGATCCAAAAATCGATAGCTGCAAATGCTTTAGGAGAGTGAGCTCGCCGATTTGAGCAGGAAGAACATACTGCCGAGTGCCTGAAAGGTCTAGCACTTCCAAATTGTTCAATTTCTCTATTTCAGCTGGAATTTCTTCCACACAATAACAGTTTCTCAACAATAAAACTTTAAGTTTCGAGAGCCTGAAAAGTGATTCTGGCAAGGACCGGACTCTCGTATTTGACAAGTCCAACAAACACAAATCGGGCATGTTGTCGAAAAATAAGGGACCAATGGTATTAAGAAATTTACTCCCTTGCATGAATAGAAGTGAGCAATTAGGGTATTCTGGGTTCTCCGGTAGCTTAAAAAACTCTTGTTCCGCCAAATTGAACACTTTTTCCACTCGGGAACTTTCTTGTGGTCCAGGTAGGCAACTTCGAACCAAAATAGTATGGTGATTCAGTTGCAACTCAATGCTACGGCCCTTGATAGCAAACAAATAGTGTTTATTTTCTGGAACAGAAACCTTTGTTATCATATCCTCAAAAGTCATACTCTTTTCCACTTGTTCACTTTGAGCACCCTGCATGATCATATTCGTTCTTTCTATGATGTGAGAGATGCGGCCATGCAGATTTCTGATGTCTCTGCGGATCTTTGCAAGTCTGAAGAACTTTCGAGTCATGATGGCTGGTTTTTTTGATTCATTCCACAAGCTTGAAGACCCGGTGCTTGATCCTGCTATGCTTAAAGTGCTTGCAGGCGTGGAATCTGGCCCTAGCATTGTAGTTTGTTCCTGGTCAATCACTACACTCTCTGTTAATGAGTCTGCTGGGTGTTCTGCCGTTATACGTGGCAGACTGTTGCAATGCTTATGGTACTTGTTACTGAATTTTTTGTATTTCTTGCGGAAAACTTGTATTTCTTTCATCAGAGTATGATACTCGTTCCTTTTCTCTGTGGGCACAGCCTTATCCAGGATTCTATCAATCTCGTTCTTCTTAACATAAAAGTTGGTCACCTTTGCTAAAAGCTCTTCCGATTCTCTTACAGATTTCCCCTTCTCCTTCAAGCATAAATACATGTCTTTAACAGCTAATGAAGAATTCAATCTTTGTTTTCCCATCTTATAAACAGTCCTACAAATGTAGACATAGTTTCCGTAAGAAATAAAATTAAAGAACATAAAATTTCACTGAATTGAACATGGATCATACTTCTTGCACAGGTACACCAAATACACCTGCATGCGATTGTAGAATAAATTTTTAATTGAATATGTAAATGGGGTTAACTCTTAAAAAATATCACTAATTTATTCCCTAATTTTTGAAGAGTTAACCCCGTTTACATATTCAATTATAAAAATTTCGAGTTTCAAATAAGACCTAGCTCTAGGCTCTAGCTATTCATTCCCTAATTTTTCAACAAAACAATAGGACCTACAACCCAAATACAAACACAATACCATACACAAATCATAATATAAACGGCAAACTTGCTCGGAATATTATTATTAGGGTTCCAATTCGAAAAATCCACTGATTAAGTAAAACCATAATCATACTTACCCGATCTAACTTCGCACCTAGTATCACAGACGGAGAAGAAGAAAAACAGATCTGAAAATTTTCGGCGAAAACATAGAAGAAGAAGAAAAATTACAGAGAAAAGCGAGAAGGCGAGGAAAATAACACCGGCTCCAGATATTCTCGTATTTTTTATTTTTTTCTTAAGAAGGCGTGTGAAAAGGAAATAGCGCTTCACCCTTTTAATACTTAATATTAATATTAATATTAACATTAATATTATTCTAGGTTTAGGATTCTTGTGCGTACGTCACTAACCAAAACATCTATATTATTATAGGTTTAGGGGCTATATCTCTTTCACCAATAAGCTTATCCCTTTAATATTTATTATAAATAAATGAAACATTCATATTTATGACAATATTACCCCCAACATTTTATACCAAATTTTTAATTGTAACCCCAATTTAATCAATTTTGACCACAAAAATCCATTTTTGATTTTTTTTTCAAAAACTTTTTTTTTCAAATTTTCTTTTTTTTGCCGCCGGATTCCGACGTTGACTTTTTGAATATATTTTTTTTCTGGTCTGTTTTTACCGCCGCCGGATTCCAGCGTTGACCTTTTTTAGTTTTTTTTTTTTTTTTTTTCTCAACGTCCGCCGCTAAACGTTGACCGTAATTGTGTTACCACTGACAGTAAATTAACATAATTATACTGTCAATGACAGTACATTAACGTAATTGTACTGCCGTTGACAATACATTTATGTAATTGTTCTGCCGTTGACAGTAAATTAACGTAATATTATTATTTTTTTTTGTTATTTTTTTAATTTTGTTTGATTTGTTGATAAGTCAACGTAATTATATTACTGTCGTTGACAGTAAAATAACTGTAAACACAATAATGTTACTGTCAACCACATCAATATTATTATTTTTTTGGGTCTTTTGTTTTGTTTGAGTTATTCACGGAGTAACGTAATAATGTTACTGTCTATTATTGTAATATTACTGTAAACACAATAATATTACTCTGGTTGACGATAATATTTCTATTGTTATAGTAATATTGTTGTCAACCACATCAATATTATTATTTTGTTTGAGTTTTTTTGTTTGTTTGAGTTATTCACGGGGTAACGTGATAATATTATTGTCTATTATTGTGATATTATTGTGGTTGACGGTAATATTACTGTTGTTATAGTAATATTACTGTCACTCACAGTAATATTAATTCTTTTGGCTTTTTATTATGTTTACATTTGTTGAACGATCAACATAGTAATATTACTCTATTACACAATAATAATTAATTTTGTTGTGTTAATATTACTGTGTAGAGATTAATATAGCAATATCACTTTGTTAAACTATAGTAAAGTTAATTTTATTGTGTTAATATAGTTAATATTACTGTCAATCACAACAATATTGTTGTTTAAACGAAAAAAAAGATATTACAGAAAGAAAGAACGAAAAAAAAAATATTCGAAAAAGTCAACGCCAGAGACCAGCGTTGACAGTCGGTCAACGCCGGAATCCGGCGGAAAAATCAGGAGGGAAAAAAAAAAAAAATCGACGCCGGAGACCGGCGATCAACAGCGGTGACGGACGAAATTGTCCATAAAAATGTGTTTTGGGTCAAAATTGAATAATTTGTGAAATTTGGGACAAATTGAAGTTAAATTAAATTAAATGATGAAATTTGAGCTAATTTAGTCTTTTACAAAAATCTGGACCATATGTGGACTTTTTGTAAAGAGTTTATTGTCTGGATCTCTTTATGGATAAGTACCCATTGATGGACTTATTTATAAAGACTCCTTATTTAATTATTAGTTGCCCGATTGATATTTTCTCCTTTAGTCCCTATATAAATATAAATCGGGCAACTAATAGTTAATTAATGGATCATTACAAATAAGCCCATCAATGGGTACTTATTCATAAAGAGATCCAAACAAAAAACTCATTTACCAATAAGTCCACACATGGTCCAGATATTTGTAAAAAAACTAAAATAGCCCTTCATACTTTAATATGCTCCAATTTCATCATTAACTTAATTAAACCTCAATTTGACCCCAAATTTCATAAATTATTCAATTTTGACCCAAAACTTTTATTTTGCCGCCGGATTCCCGCGTTGACCGGCGGTCAACGCCGGTCTCCGGCGTTGACTTTTCAATTTTTTTTCTTCCGTATTTTTTCGCTGCTTTCCGGCATTGACCGGCGATCAACGCCGGTCTCCGGCGTTGACTTTTTCGATTTTTTTTTTTCGTTTAAACAGCAATATTTCTGTGATTGATAGTAATATTAATTATATTACTGTTAAACACAGTAAAATTAATTAAACTACAGTTTAACACAATAATAATGTTATATTAATCTCTAGCACAGTAATATTAACACAACAAAACTCATTATTATTGTGTAATAGAGTAATATTACTATGTTGACCGTTCAACAAATATAAACATAATAAAAAGCCAAAAGAATTAATATTACTGTGAGTGACAGTAATATTATTACGTTACTCCGTGAATAACTCAAACAAACAAAAAAAATCCAAACAAAATAATAATATTGATGTGGTTGACAGCAATATTACTATAACAACGGTAATATTACCGTCAACCACAGTAATATTACAATAATAGACAGTAATATTATTACGTTACTCCGTGAATAACTCAAACAAAACAAAAAACTCAAAAAAATAATAATGTTGATGTTGTTGACAGTAATATTATTGTGTTGACAGTTATTTTACTGTCAACGACAGTAATATAATTACGTTGACTTGTCAACAAATAAAAAAAAATAAAAAAAATAACAAACAATAAAAAATAATAATATTACGTTAATTTACTGTCAACGGCAGAAAAATTACATAAATGTATTGTAAACGGCAGTACAATTACGTTAATTAATTGTCACTGACAGTATAATTACGTTAATTTACTGTCAGTGACAGCATAATTACGGTCATGTTTAGCGGCGGACGTAAAAAAAAAAAACAAACAAAAAAAAAACACTAAAAAAAAGTCAACGCCGGAAACCGGCGAAAAAATGCGGAAGAAGAAAAAAAAAATCAACACCGGAGACCGGCGAAAAAATCCGGAATAGAAAAAAAAAAAAAAAATTGAAAATTCAACACCGGAAACCGGCAGCAAATTTTTTTTTTGAAAAAATAAAATCAAAAATGGATTTTTGTGGTCAAAATTTGATTTTGTGGACAAAATTGATTAAATTGGGGTTACAATTAAGAATTGGGCATAAATGGTTGGGGTAATATTGGCATATACATGAATGTTTCCTTTATTTATAATAAATATTAAAGGGATGGGCTTATTGGTGAAAGAGATATAGTCCCTAAACCTAGAATAATAAAGATGTTTGGTTGGGGACTTATGCACAAAAACCCCATTAATGAAATCCAAACTCTTAAAAGAATTCATTTAAATAATCATTAAATAATTATTTATTTTCCACTACCAAATAATTATTGAACTCTAATTTATATTCTCAAGTATTACATTCGAGTTCCGGTCGATCATTACTTAGATTCTCCCCACATTAAGAAATCTTATAACCACCAAATAATTTATTCACTGCTAAATAAATTAAATGGTTTCTTTTCATGAGTCTTACCCGCTTAACTTATTTGAGTATGCCGGATACGAAATCCACCTGGCCAGGACTTGGCATAAACAAATCTTATAAGCTACTCAAGGGTTATTATCAATCTCATATTTAAGAGATGTGGATTCCTTTCGATAATTAATTTCCACATATTAATTTTTAATGTCTCTACCCAACGCACCGGGGGCCATTTGACTCAATATAGGAGTCTCTCCCATTGTGACATCAAAGTAGAGATCATCAATTAAATATGTACGTTAATTATCTAGGGATTAAGAGAGTAACTAATTTACTGTCAACTAGAAATAATATAGTTTCATTTTTGAATAGTGATGAAACAATTATTTCACTTTGTCCGGTTCAACATATGCCGGGTGTGTTAGCACAATAAGTCAAAACAATAACTACAAAAGTTATTCTCTATTTACTGTGATCAAGACCAATCACTTAAATATTGTGTTACAATCTTTTACCAATGATTAGTCCATTTACATCTAGATTGTGAACGTTTATCTTTATATTCTAAACGAACTTTCGAAATGATCTTTCTGTGCGCCGTAGCACACCATTTCGAATACTATTAGAATATTAGACTTATGCTTTTAATTAATTGACAAACAATCAATTAAATGCATTGAATACCCTAGTGCAGATTCTCATAAAATGATAATATACAATTTTATTAATTCAATAATAAAATTATGTAGCTAAAAGCGAGACTTTTAGTCTACTATCCTAACAGAGAGGATTCAAAGGAATCTTTGTATGAGCTTGAGCGGAAAAGCAAGGTGTAGATTAACTGGTTTTGATCGAGCACTAACAAAATCGTTTCAGAATAGATATAGTTTGAACTCACTATTTTCTTTGGATTTCTTTCTTTCATTGAGATGAGGAGCCGAGGAAGGTGCACACACACTAGATATGTGTTAGTTTATACAAC